AAAAATTAGGTGTCTATTTACTTGTGACCAATCAGTGTACTTTGTATTTAGAGTAAACATTTCTTTTATCAAATATTACAACTTTCCACTTTTATAACATGCAATCCATTATTGGCCAACTTTTATGAATCAAACTATAGCAAGTGAAACGCAATGGCACACACCTCTTAGTAATTATCTGTGTGCAATATACACTGTCGAAATCGTACAAAAAACAATGATTTTCTTTTTTAGATCGGTGTCTCATGACGAATACTTTCGGGGGAGTTACAACGACCCAAAACCACATAGTTTCAACATTTCATTCCCATTATTTCAAACCATTTATAAAAGATAAAACATTATGAAATAAATAAATTGTGGATGCCAGTAACTGAGCATACATTATTCCAAGGAGAAACTATCAAGTTTACAGATAAACCTATATGTATAATACAAAAAAAAAAAAGAGTTCCAAAACACATTAAAGTTGAAAGTTTGTAAAACAGAGGTATCAGAAAAAAAAACAGTGTATTTTTTCCACTAAATAACAAACGTGTACTTTATCTTTTTATTAATACCGTTAATGTGTACTATTAAAGAAGACTATGATAAAAGAAAATATTTTGATAATAAACGTTTGTGACTGGTATTCAATAGAAGCAAGTTCTAAGCCTATACTGTGGAATTCTGTAATTTTCCCTAAAGAGGGCCGCCTGGAGGGGTCACCTGTCTTAACCATTCGCACCAGTATACAGTAGTGTATCGTCAGTCAGTAGACACTAAAATGACGTCACATAAGAGACGCTTAACGTTGCAATTTGTACTGTGACGTCAGTAAAACGTGCGCATGCCATGAATCTCGAGAAGAATTAGAATTACGAACTTTGTAGGTCGCAAAACAGCATGACACATGAACTTGAAAAGGAAGAAATAAAAATATTTGTTACTCTTAATTTTTATTTACTCTTGAAACAAAACACTTCTGGGACTCTGCAGAAGTACATCTAGCTTATATTTAGTTTTAACTAATGTTCTAAACTAAACGCAGGGTGTTGTCTTAAGAAAGAATATAGGTGATCCCACTACTCTTTGTTAACAGAGCATAAAATTTATATGACGTTATTTATTAAGTGCCTATTAATTACTAAGACGTTTAATCCTATTGTTAATTACAGCTTTAGGAAAACAATAAATTACCTAAGTCAGTAGAGGGTCAGTCAACATCTCCACAAGCAAACGAATCAACAGTGGGGAGTAATGTCACTATAATCTTTGTGATACACACGAAAGACAATATACATTTTCATGCCACCATTAGCTTGCGATACTAATTCAAACCCACTACTGTCGTATTCGATCCCTGCTACATATACACCTGGAAAAAAGTTAAGCACCCCCAAATATTTATCAGGATTGCTTTTTGAAAATAAGGTTTAAT